ATATGAATTTTCCCTTGTTTCAAATGGACGTCAAAAGTGCATTTTTAAATGGGGATATTCATGAAGAGGTATGTGTCCCAACCTCCCAGGTTTATCAATAGTGAATTCCAAGATCATGTTTTCAAACTTAGAAAAGCCTTATATGGGCTCAAACAGGCCCCACGTGCCTGGTACGAGCGGTTAACCTCTTTTCTTCATGAGCAAGGTTTCAAACAAGGATCTGTTGATAAAACTCTCTTTACTAAGCGAGAGTCACATGATCTGTTGCTTGTTCAAATTTATGTGGAGGATATTATTTTCGGCTCTACAAATCAAGATATGTGTGTTTTATTCTGTGATTCTATGAAGCAAGTTTTTGAGATGAGCATGATGGGAGAGTTGCAATACTTTCTTGGTCTCCAAGTTAAGCAGACCATGAATGGTACTTTTATATCCCAGTCCAAGTATGTGTCCAACATGTTGTCCAAGTTTGACATGGTTTCATTGAATTCTGCCCCTTTCCCTATGGCTGCTAACACTAAGTTAGACAAAGACGAGACTGGAATACCAGTCAATGAATCAAAATTTAGAGGGATGATTGGCTCTTTGTTACACCTCACTGCCAGCAGACCTGATATTCAGTTCAGCGTGTGCATGTGTGCTAGATTTCAAAGAAAACCCAAAGAAGTCATCTAAGTGTTGTAAAACGTATTTTTCGCTATCTTAAAGGCACTTTAGATGTAGGATTATGGTACCCCAAGCAAGACAATTTTGATCTCATAGGTTACAGTGACTCAGACTATGCTGGTAGTCTTACTGATAGGCGTAGCACAACAGGGAGCTTTCAATTTGTTGGCACATCCCTTGTTTCCTGGTCCTGTAAAAAACAGGGGACTGTTGCTTTATCTACTGTAGAAGCTGAATACATAGCTGCTGATAGCTCGTGCACTCAGCTTCTGTGGCTTAAAAATAAGCTCACTGACTATGGTGTCAACATATCTTTAGTTCCACTCTTTTGTGACAACACCAGTGCCATTTGCATCTCTAAAAATCTTGTTTACCATTCTCGCACTAAACATATAGACATTAAGTATCACTTTATTCGTGAATTAGTGCAGTCTGGCTCCATAAATCTCCAATATATTAGCACATAATATCAACTTGGTGATTTATTTACCAAACCTCTTTCCACAAATCGATTTACTTCTCTTTGCTATGAGGTTGGATTGAGATCTGCTCAATTTATTCCTAATTGATTGTGTTACCTTTCTCCCGTGTGTTGTTTGCTTTCTTTCTTTGTTTTATGTTTCCTTGTTGTGTTTTGTGTTTATTGCTCCTTCCTTGTCGAGTTGTGTTACCTTTTTTATTTCTGTCTATTTAAGTGTTTCTTGCTGTAGGGTTGGTTGTCTCTCTGTGTGTAGCTCTTGAGTGTTTTTGTGTGTTTAGAGCCTTTTCGTCTTCTCATCATGGCTTACTCCTTTGCCCTTACCTACTATAGTACTTTTTTCCATGAGCCCACCTACTTGAACTATCATCGTCATTCCCAGTCCTTTGTTTTTCGCCCTATTGCTCCACATCTCCATATACCTTATCCTGGGTTAGAAGATCATAGCTTGCAAGTTCAGCACTGGTTTCACAATCTTGGGTGGGGGTTCCTCCTTGAAAATCATTCGCCCCTTATCTGTCCCAAAGCTGTGCGTTGTCTCCAATCTATAACCCTTCTGACCTTAGTATTTGTACACTTGGTTACTCTGCCTGTCCAGGATCTAGGACGTCTGCTTGATATTCCTTCTGTTGGCGAAAACCTTGCCCACGAGTCTGAGCTGCATCTGTTCAACTTCAACATTGTGGAAGAAGCTGTTAATCTGACTGGCCACCATCCTAATGAAGACCTCTCGCTTCCTGTGTCGATTCTTCTACCATCTATGAGGGTTTTTCATTACTGCTTCACTAGATCCTTCTTGCCTCGTTCTTATCAGCTTGATCGAGTTCTTCCTCTGGATCTTTGGATTATGGCTCATGTTGTTGCCGAGGTACCCTTAGATTACTCTCCTCTCCTGTTTGGGGCTCTTGTTCCCTTTTTTGATCATACTCATGATGCCCCCCCTTCCTTTTGGAGTTTTGATCACTCGCTTATTGCTGCCCTCCCTATCAATCTCAACTCGTTTCTGTTTGAATCTCCTTCCCATTGGCTCACTATTGATCTTATCCTGGCGGATTTGGATATTGCGATTGAGGGAGTGGTGAACCTGATTTGGATTAGTGACTCTGATTCCGATGATTCTGATTCTGATGACTCTGACGCTGGAGGGGCTGATATCGTTCCTGCTCCTGCCTTTGTTGAACCTTTTGTTGCTGCTCTTATAGAACTTTATGGATCAGATCATGAATCAAGCGTTCACTCTGGATCGGAGGCTGATGCTGCTATCGTCTAGTGACTTGTTTAGATGATTAGCTCTTCTTGTTTCGTGAGCAGAGGGTTTTCTGTTGTTTCTATTCTGTTGGTTCTGTTTTGAGTCTTTTGGATTGGTGAATATTGTTGTTTGGTTTGGTTTGATCTCATGGAGAGATCTGACGCTGTGGATGTTTGCTCTCAGGGAGAGCTTTAGGACCAGTGTTCTTCTTTCGATTCTTTGGTCTATGTTCCTTGTTTGCTTGTTGGAGGTTGGCTGCTGGTTTTCCTTTTGCAGGTTCAGGGCAATCGTCAATATCTGACTTAGGGAGAGATTGTTGGACCTATGTCAAGTCAGAATTGACTTCCCTCCTTCCTCGACCGTTGCTAATTTGAAGGAAGCTTCATTTGAGAAAGAGAAAGTGCATAATCATGGGAATTGACAGGATCTTCTCCAACGGCTAGTCCTTGCTGTCTTTTTATACTCTTTTCCAGAAGCATTGGAATGCACTTTTGCGGAAGAAAAAGACTGAGTGGAATAGGGCTTGGCTTGCAAAAGGGTAACATCAGAGGGGTAACGGTTCTCTAGTGTTGTGGATGTTCAGATCAGTGTTGATCTGGTTGTTAGTGTTGAAGTTATTGCTGTTTTTCTATTACTGTATGATTGGTTCTTTCGTTCAGAGTCATAAACTGAAAAATCAACAAAGGGTCTCCCAGACTGTATTCTGGGACGTGGAAGTACACCATTGCACTTGGGCGAACCACGTTAAAAATGTCCTGTGTACTGTGATTTCTTTCTTTCTTTCTTTCTTTCTTTCTTTCTTTCTTTCTTCTTCTTCTTCTTCTTCTTCTTCTTCTTCTTCTTCTTCTAGCTCTGTTTCTTTCCCTGCTTCGGCTCTGTTCTTCCTTCCAAGAACTGATCTGCAGACAGTCAAGTAACATATCTGAGATCTTGGTGTGGGCCGAAAGGCTGAGTCTTGCGAGTTTGGCTTGGTCCAGCAGATCAGTTGTGTGTTCGTTTTGGGCCCAGATTAGTTTTGGTCCATTATTTTTATTTGCTTGTGGAGTCCAGTTCGGTTGCCAAAGGAGAAGTCAGTCAATCTTTCTTCTTTGAGCTCCTCTCATTTTTGTTCCTTCTTTCTTTTGGTCAAAATCCCTAAAACCCGATTTCAGTTGGTGAAAATCAATTTCGCTCTTTTTCCAAGTGGAATTTCCAAGAAGCCGTGTTGTTGGTTGACGGTGTAAACGTGGGATTAGGAAATTCTGGATTTGAATTCGGAGTGTGCAATGTAACGGCTGTCGAGAACTTGACCTCCACTTTCATTGATGGCGGAAGCAAGGTTTGGAGATTCAAGAGGAAGAGAGGCGGATGGGTTGGCCTTTGGAAGCTTCCGAGGAGTTTGAATTTTGTAGGCCCTCTAGTAGTAGGTTTGGTTGGTATTTTCGAATCGAGCTATATTCAATTCGAGTTCGATTTCAACAACGAAGTTGATAAGGGTATCAGTATGCTCTGGTTTGATTTAGTTTTAACTGAACCGAATTGATGTCCGCTCCTGCTCCACTAAAACAAACCGAACCGCGGCATATTCTAGAGTATTGTTAGAAACCAACTACTAATCAATAAGGGGTGGGATTCGGTCGGTAAACAATTTACCGTTTACCGAATTTACCGGTTTCGGTATATCAAAGTTGGCCAAACTGATTACCGGTTACCGTTACCGGTTTGTAACTGGTTTACCGATTACCGAATTACCGGTAAACGGTTACAAACCGGTATTACCGAATTATCGTGAGAAGCGATTTCAGGCGGTTTTTCGGTCGGTTTACCGAATATTTACCGAACCGAATTTCTGGAAGTGAGGTAATGTTGTAATATTTTCATTTTTTTGTTTTTTTTTCATCATTTTTGTAATTAATAATTTATTATTAACTATTATTTACAATATTTTTTAGGCCTATACTTACATTCATGTATGTAATATTTTATATTTTTGGGGGTAAAGCAACAAAACGCAGGGTAGCACTAGGGAGTAGGGAGGGGAGATTCGGTATCGGTAATACCGATTTACCGTCGGTATTTACCGATACCGTGTCCGGTAAACCAACTCCCCCAACTTCCCGCTCGGCTATCGATACCGCCGATAAACGATTTACCGTTTATCGCCGGTTACCGGTTCGGTAAAACGGTAAATCGTTTATCAGATTACCTTTACCACCCCATCAGGACAATCAAATATGCGCAAATAGCATTTGCAAGAATGCGTCGGGCTCTGGATTATTCATTAACAACTAACAAATATGATTCCTTAGTTTGAAGTTTGTGCGATCGATAGCAATTAGGAAACATTAAACCTTTCATGATCAGAAAGTAAAAACAAATGAATAGCCACTAGAGTAATTGAGGCAAATGTATTATTTGCCTCTAAATAGATACAGAGCCAAATAGTATATTTATAGAGGCCAATTCCCTTAGCCGCTATATATAAATTTTGTTGTAAGACATAAAATTACTAAAATATAATTTTCCAACAATCTCTTAAAGAGTTATATGATAGACAATTTTTGACTGCAGGTTGACTTCAAATCGAGTGCAATACAAGTATACACTTCATAAAAGAGCTGCTCCTGCTCAAATCGAAGAAGCTTCCATATGAAATTGATCGAAGCAAACCTGCAGCAGTGGAAGACAAACAAGCGGTTTGGCCAAGCTCATAGTCATCCCTAAACCTGCTTCCATCTTCACACCCTCTTCCCCATTCGCAAACTTCCACTCAAAGCACTGAACCATGGCCGCAACCGCATAACATATGACCGTGAACGCCAAGTTCGAACCAGGACACATCCTCCTTCCACCACCAAATGTAGCGAAGCCATTCGCCTGAAATCCCTTCTCGACCTTACCCTGAAGAAACCTCTCAGGAGAGAATTCGTCAGGATTCTCCCATACATCGGGATCTCTGGTTATGGAGTATACATTGAGCGCCACAGCCACGCCTTTTGGTATGTCGAACCCTCCGACCCTGCAAGCTTCGCGACAAACCCTAGGTACCGCCATTACTGGAGGGTGTAGCCTTAATGCCTCTTTCACGACGGCTTGTAAATAGTAGAGGTTTGGAATGTCTGTCTCTTCCACCAACCTGTTGTTGCCGCTTCCATTGGTTAGATCGTGAATCTCTTGCCTCACCCTCTTGAATATGGCTGGATGGTTCAAGATCTCTGCCATCGTCCACACCATTGCGTCTGCTGTTGTGCTGGTACCGGCAATGAATATATCCTGTAGGTGCATGACGACATAAATTGCATTTGTAAGCTACTTGGGTTGTACCCTAAAATGAAATCCAATTCATATGTGATTAACAAATAAGAGTTATCAGGAATCCAACAGTCAACAGAATATCTTTCGATCATAAAAAAGCTAATACAATGTCAAAAACCAATTGATCTCAAATTTTTGCCAGAAGTTCAATTATGTGAATTAGCAACGTACGTACCAAGAAGAAGGCCTTGATATTCTTTCTGGTGACCTTGATATCGGCCTCTGGATCATTGGACACTCGTAGAAGAATATCCATAAAATCAGGGTTCGTACAGTCGAAGCTGGGGCCATCATCATCGTCACTTCTGTAGGCAGCTGATGATGCCGATCTTTCTTCATGCTCCATGAGGATTCTCTCGAGCATCTCGTCGCACCTCGCCGGGAATTCCTTTGCTTGCCGCCGAAGCAAGAAGTATCCCACTCTCTTGAAAGGTCCGAGCATATGCGCCAGCAGCATTTTGGCTGTCAGCTCATTTGACTCGTTCACCAACTTTCTGCACCTCTCTGCTTCGTTGTCCTCGCCGGAACACCTTGTGCTCATCGCCATCCTGTGACAAAGCACGACCCAAAATATTTTGAGATTTGTGTCAGCCGATAAAAATAAATAAAAAACTATAAAACTCTAAGTTATGAAGTGCAAAATTTTATGGTTATTTATGACGAGGTACAACGACTTTTTATATTACGAGAAGGTTGTGAAATACATTCATTAATTATTTTGCAATCCAAATATTTTTCAATGTATACAACCCAACAATAATTGACAAATTGATCACTAAAAGGATTATGAAAATCTTTCTTGATTCACTTCATAATAAATATAATCATTTCACAATTTGTAGTTACAACAGACATCAATTAAAATTTTTGAAGTTGTGTAATAAATATTAATTTTATTTTTCTTTAATGGCGAGATATGGATTTTTCACCGCAACATATATCATTTAATTTGGAGCATAAATTAATTAAGGCAACGCATACAAATTAGTTGACTAACTCGATGACACAACTAAGTCGTCATCATACACAAATATAGATAAAATTTTGTTTTTGTTTTGAATTAGGTTGTTTTGAAGGATTTCAATTACTGTTTTTAATTACAAGAATTTTCGCACACATAAAATATCCATGAATGGGTCGTCACAAGCTTTAGTTAGCATACGTGATTGTTACCTGCATGTGACGTTATTCGTCAGACTCATGAGCTCAACGCTCAAGTCCGCGGCGGCCTTCTCCTCGCTCTTGGCCACTAATTTCCTGAGCAGCCGCTCCACTTCTTCCCGCCTCACGCTCCTAGACCGGTCCAGCTGGCGCGTGGAGAGCAGCTCCGTGACGCACAGCTTCTTCACGAACTTCCAGTAGTCCCCGTAGGGAGCGGTCACGAACCCCGAGTCACCGTACAGCAGCCGGTCCTCGAGCGGCGAGTCGGGCTTCGCCGCGAAGCTGACGTCATGGGTGCGGAAGATCTCGGAGGCGAGGGACGGCGAGGAGACGAGGACGACCGGGTAGGAGCCCAGGCGGAGGTAGAGGAGCGGGCCGTACTTCTGGCGGAGCGCGTGGAATGTTTTGAACAAGGGTTGGGCCGACGCCAGGTGGTGGATGTGGCCGATGAGCGGCAGCGCCGGCGGGCTCGGTGGCAGGCGGAGTTTGCGGTTGTTCGCCGGAGATGGGTTTTTGTTGAGTATGAATATTTTGGCGAGCCTTAAAACGAGTAAGGTGGCGGTGGTGGCAATTATGAGGATGAAATAGTGAGCTTGATCACTCGAGGAAGCCATGTTTAGAGCCGCGGGAGAGCTTATTGTGATTTTGGAAGTATGAGGATGCAGAGAACGTCTGATTCATATATAGCAGGGGCGGAGCTATGTAGGCTATCGGGGGCCCCGGCCCCCCGAGAATTTTAAAACTTACGTATAAAGTCCTAGGAAATTCCGAGAATTACGTATAAACTCAATCAAACAATTATATAGAATTCGAATGAAATATTCTTAACAAAAAAGATTTCCAGTCTAGCAGAGAAGCGGTCCAGTTGTACCTACAAGGTTCAGGGTTCGACCTTGATACACAACACTACTTTTATAATTTTAACAGTTTTTTTTCCAGTTTAATCCTTTAATTTTTCTATTTTGTCTTATAAATCTTGTAATTTTAAATAAATTCAGTCAAGTTCTTAACTTTTACATTCATATTTTCAAAGATTGTTTTTGGGTATGTAATTAATTAATTTTTAAAAACAATAATATAATCATAAATTCATATTCAAGGTATAAACATGTTAAAATGCATGATAATTTTTGGCCACGGTATAAACATTTATTTTGAGTATAACATACTAGCAAACTTTAAATTATTTATATTTTGAGTTTTTTTTAATTTAATTAATATATGTGTCGTTATTATTTATTTTTATCTTTGGATTTTCAAAATAATTTATTAAATAAATCCGGCCCCCCGAACTTTCAATCCTGGCTCCGCCCCTGATATATAGGATATGAGATCGACGGCCAGATATTTGAATTATTCTACTACGTACGCCGTTTATGTCTATGGTATACATAATCCATTCGCTTTTTTTTTTTAAGTCTTGGATAAGAATCTACAATTACTTGTGGCATGAAATGTTATACCGCCCGTAAAAGGTGTCCGTGATTGATTTCTCCGACGTGCATGTTGTTAACTTGTTTTTTGTTCAGAGTGGCAAGTTGAAATATGGACTTAGGATAGGGTCACTAACCAATAGTTACTAATTTATGAGTAACTAAATCTGGACCTTTAAATTTAAGTGGGTCCAGAAAATTCAGATATAAGGGTTGTCAATTAAAGGCATTTTATTTTCCCTAGTTTCTTAATTGGCTCTTATCTTCTTCGTTTTAACTCGTATTTCAAAAAAAAAAAATTTGCACAGATGGAACGAGTTCGTTGTGCTCTACAAAATGAGATCAATTTTCAATATATTTCGAGAAACTTTTTTTTACCAACTACATACCATATGGTAACTTCTTCGTTTTTAAGTCCTTTTTGAAAACGTTTGCTCAGAAGGAACGAGTTCATCATGATCTATTGGATCTATAAATTTCTGGGTGAAAAAATACTGGATAAAAAATTACCATACTTTACCACTATGGTATGTGATTGGTAACTTGTAGTAAACAATGATGAAAGTCGTAAATGACAGTTAATATACTCCTACTATCAAGTATTCAACCTTCTTACCATATTGGTATGTTCATACCATCATGGTACGCTTTCTTACCATATGATATTAAATTGGAGCATACCATATGGCAATGACTGGTAAAAAATTATTCAATTTTTTTTGTACTAAAAATATATCAAAGTGGATATCATTTTGTAGAGCATTTTTAATCTGATTTATCTGTGAAAAAAAAATTAAATTTCGACTTAAAACGAGAGAGAAATCGTCTGTTAAAGATTAAAGGGGAAAAGATAAAAGACTTTCCAGGAGAGAGAGGCTACTGATGTCATGTTGATGTGGACAGGTTATTCATGGTTACTGACCATAGAGTTATTGACCTGATACGCTCTCGAAATATGACTTTCGTCATTCTCAAGATATACCTATGGGCTCTGGAATATTGAGTCAAAGCAAACCAGCTGGGGAAGACAGACGAGTGGTTTGGCCTAGGTCATGTTGACACATGATTTTTCGCACTTCTACTATGTTATAAAGTATTGGTATTTTAATGTACAAATTAAAGTTGTACTATAACGTTAAATGTATAAGTTTATGTTGTACGATAAAGGAATTTTAACCGTTATGTTATGGTACAACTTCAAGTTGTAGAAATTATATCATTACATAAAGGTAAAAATTCAAGATGTACCATAAAAAAAATTGTACAAAAGAGAATAGGTACAATCTAAAGTTGTACCATAACTTTAAAGGTACCGCTTCAAGTTGTAACATAAATGAAAAAACTTATAGCACTCATACTATATAACATTATAAAATTCCCATGACATTTGGCTATTAATTGCAACTAGGGCTGGCAGAACGGTTTTCGGTTAGCAGTTAACCGACCGGTTTCAACTGAACCGGCCGGTTTTTGGCTAACCGAAAAACCAAATATAAAGGCAACGGTCGGTTGGCGGTGGGGAAGGGTAGGGGGTCGGTTAGCTGACTAACGGGGGTCGAAAACCGGCGGTTAATCGGCTAACCGACCCCCCTTCCCTTTCCCCAATAAACGACGTTGTTTCCGCCCACTAACCCTAAGCAGCCGATCCTCCTCTCCCAATTCCCAAATCAATCGACCTTCCCCCCCTTACTGTCGCAATCTCGCGCAGCCCTTCCCCTTCCCCCTTCTCGCAATCTCGCCTAACAGAGACCACCATCGTCAACGTTCCACCGGTGCCCCGCCGCCTCCACCTCGTCGCCCCGCCGCCTCCACCTCGAATCCCAAAATCTTCTTCTTCTTCTCCCATCAACCATGTCCAATCCACAGAAACCACCACCACTCCGCCAGCACCAGCCGCCGCCCTCCCCTGCCTCCTCCGCTCACCCTCCTTCCACCGCCACCACAACTTCCTCCACGGCCATCGTTCCTGGTTCCGCCGGCGTGCTCGCGGTGAAGAAGCCGCCTTTGAAGGACAGGCACCGGGAAGACTCCGGCGAGCTTCTCCACCGTCTCCGCCTCCGACGACCTCCTCCTCCCCGACGCCGCGCCTCGCCTCGACGACCTCCTCCTCCCCGCTGCCGCCCATCACCACGCCTCGCCGCCCATCGCCGCGCCTCGCTGCCCGTCGCCGCGACCCATGCAGATTTGTTTCCATGGAGAAAGAAGGTGAGAGAAGAAGAAGGAAGGAGAGAGAATAGGTCTGGTGGAGGAAGGAAGGAGAGAGGAGGAGATAAGGAAGGAGTGGTGGAGATTCTTTTGTTTTATTTAATTATTTTTTTGTTTTTTTTTTAATGTATTTTTTCGGTTGGTCGGCTAACCGAACCTAAAACCAAAACCGATTGGTCGGTTGGTCGGCTAACCATGACCTCTCTTCGGTCGGTGGTCGGCATCTATAGAGGGTGGCTTGATTTAACCGATAATCGGATTTTTGATTTTCGGTTAAACCGACCGACTGCCACCCCTATTTGCAACTGCAAATTGATTGTCAAATTTGATGACCATAGATTGTATTTGCTTGAATGTCAAAATTTTCATAATATTTCTTAACCAAACTGGGTGATTCATTGCTTCAATACAAGCAATGTAGTCTATTGTAGTAATTGACTGAGCTACAATGCTTTGCATTTTTGAACTTCAGGAAAAGAAAAATGATCCAAGTGTAAAAGTGAATATAGAAGTGCTTTTCATGTGAAAATATTATCATCTAAATTTTACAAACACCAAGAGTCACCGAAATACTCTATTCTATATTTCTAAATTTAACTATTTAAATATTGCTATTTAATATAATTTTATCTTCATGAATTAAGATAACTCATATTAAGAAAAACTATATGTGAATGGAGGAGGGAAAATTCTTCCACTCAAAATTCAAAATTGAAAAGACAAAAAATTATAGTCATAAAATTTCTCTCCACATATGTCATTTAATTATGTCATTTTCCTCCTTCAATCTTTCATTTATTTTAGTTGTGGAATATAGCCCTTTATTATAATTAGTAGCTTTAAGGTAGAAAAAAATCTACTAAAAATTGCTTGCAAAATATTTGGTTTTCCATTAGTGCAATAACTAAGGATTAAGAAGTAAGGAACTCAATGGGTTGACCCGAACATGCCAACCTGATTGTAACTCGAACAACTGCAAATCGATTGACCCATAACATGTAACTCGATTGATTTACAATCTGACGAGTCTGAATTACTCGCAACTGACTCCATGACATAACTAACTTGCATTTTCGATTGAACCGAATCCACACCGGATAGATGGACACTTCTACGGCTGCCGGGTGGCGAGGAATCGATTAAAATAATGAAGACACGCATAGCCGGAAAATCTTTATAGGCTGCCGGTGGCGAGGATTAGATTAAAAAGAATACACACAGCCGGGGAATCTTTAATGCTATGTATGGAATTGTATTGAGAACCGTTGCCGGCCGCCCGGCCCTTCGTATATGGCACTCCAAATGACCATAGGTTGAGATTCAGTCAATATTTTATTGTGTTTCCTAGCTAGTTGTGTCCTTCTTACAGCCGATATTCGTACCAAGACTCAATTATATTAAGAGTAATAATAGACAACGTTATCTACCTACAATTGGATAAGCTTATTTCCTAAATTGAGAAATGGTTTAGATTTCAATACAAAATCCTTTTTATATGTAGTACTACAAAATCATATCCAATGCTTATAATTTGTAAAAAAAAAATTATACTTATTCATGTGGGTCTAATCGTAATCCAATATGGTAAAGGAAACGGTTACAGACCAGACCCAAAACTGATAACCAAAACGTGTATCGACACATACACAGCGAGACCCCGTGACTTCCTGTCGTAGCGGTTGATAGTTCGATTCAAGTCACATCAACAATAGTAAAGCAAATTAGGGAGAAGAAGTTGAAGACACCTAACCTTATGGTAGCACTGCGTGTCGTGGTGAGGAAGACGGTACTCGTTCATGATCCAGCTGGACCTCACCTGCTTGGGCGCCTTCCCGGAGTAGAACACCAGCGTCTTCTTCAGCCCGATCGACCTCGAGCTCTTGCTCCGGATCATCCGGTCCTCGAGTTATTAGTAAGGAAACGAATAATTAGGGACGCCCTTACATTATTATATAGTTAAATGTATTTTGAATGTGATGTATTGTTTAAGAACCATCCAACAGACACTGACCGGATGTATTTTGAAGTGAAATTGATGAGTTTTTAACTGTGATGCACAAGAATTCCGAGCCATCGGGATTTGGGGATACTTTGGCCACTAGAAGTTAAAGTAGTGGAAAAGTTATTTGGTTTTAAGATTTTAGCTTTTTGTGTGTTTTTAGCTGTAAAAGATACATTAAGTTCGTTTAGTGTAATTGGTAAGGTTCATGTCCTTATTTAATGAAATAATGGTTCAAATATCAGGACTGATCTATTTTCATATGAATAAAAAATAAATAATTGTGAAAACAAATCTATCCTTCTTATTTTTGCTCTTGTTAAAGAAAATTTAAAATGTTGAAAAACTACTATTAACTCAAAGCTGCTCTGTTTTATATTTTATTGACCCGAACATGTCAATATGTATGTAACTCAGAGCAAGTACAAGTCGATTGACCCATAACACATAACTCGATTGATTTACAACCTAATGATTTTGAATTACCGGCAACTGATCCCATGACTCAACTAACTTGTGACCCAAATGAACCCAAATTGACACTTCTACGTACGGCTGGCGGTGGCGAGGAATCGATTAAAAAGAAGACACACATAACCGAGGAATCTTTACACAGCTGCCGGTTACGAGGAATCGATTAAAAAGAAGACACACATAGCCGAGGAATCTTTACACGGCTGCCGGTTACGAGGAATCGATTAAAAAGAAGACACACATTGCCGAGGAATCTGTACACGGCTGCCGGTTACGAGGAATCGATTAAAAAAAAGACACACATAGCCGAGGAATCTTTACACGGCTGCCGGTTACGAGGAATCGATTAAAAAGAAGACACACATAGCCGGAAAATCTTTAATGCGATGTGCAATGTACTGAGAACCGTTGCCGGCCCTTCATATATGGGCTATGGCACTCCAAATGACCATAAGTTGAGATTCAATTAATATTTTAGTGTGTTTTCTAGCTGGTTGTGTCCTTCTGTATAGCCGATATCCGTACCAAGACTCTGTTATATTAAGAGTAATAGTAGACATAGGGTGGCTATTTGATTTAGATTTTTTGGTTTTACTCGAAACCGGACCGTATAATCCGGTCTGGGACCGGATAACAAACAATCCAATCCAATTTTTTGGCTTAGATTTGAGGTAAAATACCATTTGAGACCGGACCAAAACCGGATAAGAGAGCCCAAGACCTAAAATTTAACCTACTCCTCACCTTTTCAAGTCTCAGGTCACTCAAATCACCACAAGCTCACTCTAAAATCAAGACCGAATTGAGACCGGACCGGTTCAAGACCGGACTGTATCCAATCCAATATTTGTTCCTCATATTCCCGAAAAGGCCAGACCGGGACCGGATCGATTTGGGCCAATTTAACCGGATCAAATCGTATAGCCACCTTTATGTATACATATCAACCTACAATTGGATAAGCTTATTTTCTACAGTAATATATATATGGCTTAGATTCCAATACAAACTCTTTTTATATGTAGTATTACAAAATCAAATCTATTGTTATAATTTGTGAAGAAGAGATTTCATGATCTATATCATAAAAAAACGAGGTAAATAAATTATTTTGGGGACAACTTATAAAATTTTTTAGGCAGTTGATCGAATTTTTGGAAGTTGATGCATATATCTAGGTGTCTATTAAAACTTTTGGAGGCTGGCTCATATATCTAGGTGTTCAATTAAAACACTTTTCAAATATACTACAACATTTTATGGGAAGATATGTCATTCATTTTACATAGAATTTAAAAATGTTTTGCGTTAAAAAGATAAGAATTTTATGAAGGGATCGTTTTCATATCTTGGCTGCTCCAAAATCCCGATGTCGGTCAGCCTTCGCAAGGGAAACACCCGACTTCCGCCGGAGGTGAACCGCGTGCTCTACGTTCGCAACCTTCCGTTCATTGGTTGAAGGAGAGGAAGATCGACTCGCCGATTAGCACGGCGGCAGATGAAGAGATCGAGAGGTGCTCCCCGTACCCTAGCGCGACGGCGGCGGAGGTGGAGGCGGAAGTTGATCGTCTCGGCTCCGAGTTTCCTGCTGCTCCAGTAATGGATCGACCGAGGGAGCGTTTGAATTCTCCGTGACAAACTAAGTACGAAGAGTACGAGCACAAGGTTTAACGTGGTTTCCCTGATCTACAGGACTAGTCCACGGGAGAGCCGAAACTCTCCAAAGTCAATCTTATTCAACGTAATAATCCTCATACACGGTTACAACCCATATATATAGAGGTTCCTAATCAAACCCTAATAACTAAGGCATATATGTACAATTACAGAATGGTACCTATATTTTAACACCCTCCCTCAAATTGATGTTGGGTGCGCAACATCAATTTGGATGAAAGGTACCAATGCCTGCTAGACGCTAATGCCTTAGTCAAAATATTAGCGGTTTGATCTTCTGTTAACAGATGATGCAACTGTATTCTCCCTTCTGTCACCAGTTGTCTAATGTAGTGGACATGAACCTCTATATGTTTTGTTCGATCATGTAGAACAGGATTAAGTGCAATCTGCAAGGCACTCGTGTTATCACCATATAGCTTCATAGGAGACTTGCACTCAAAGTCCAGTTCCTGCAGTAACCGTTGCAACCAAACTAGCTCAGAACTAACCTCTGACATAGATCTGTACTCTGCTTCTGTTGAGGATTTGGAGACGCGATCCTGCTTCTTGCACCACCAGGAAACAAATGATTGACCAACTCGCACACACCAGCCTGATGTTGATCGTCGAGTGTCTATACAACCAGCGTAATCTGCATCTGCAAATGCTTCAATGACCGGATCACCTGCGGTTGAGAAGAACAACCCAACGTCCTGAGTCTGCTTTAGATACCTCATAATTATGTATACTGCTTCCAAGTATTATGGTCGCGCCACCCCCATACATTGACTTACCACCTGCACCGAGTATGCTATGTCAGGACGTATGTGCGTCAAGTAAATCAAACTTCCCACCAG